GTGGGAGATTTCAATGGATTGCCGGAAGCGTGGAATCATCATCAATGATGCTCCCATTTCGTTCCACTGTGAACCCATGCCGCTGAATACCCAGACAATGGGCCGCTTAAGGCCAGTGTAATGCTGAACATTCCTAACCAAAGATTTTGTTGGTTGGTTGCCGTTATTGCCGAATATGCCATATCCTCGAAATACCATGCCGGATACTTCTTCCTCTTGTATATTCTGCAACAGTCCAATGAACTCGGCATCCAACGGTTTCTTCTCAATCCCATTGAAAATCTCATTGACAGCATCCTCCGTTCTGCCAGCCCATGTCACAATCCTGGGCAGATTATCCTCAGGTATTCCATAGTTTACCTTTGACTTCGGATGTGCTTTAAGAATGGCATGTGCATTGGCGCCACCAAACCCGAACGAATTAACTCCGATACATGGCTTTGGCAGAGGAGTAACATCCTTAACCACAACTAAACGTCCCTCCGCCAGTGCCGTTATTGTTGGTTTCACCTCGGTAAAGTTAATATTGGGTGCTATTAGGCCAGTTTCGAAAGCAAAGCACGCTTTCACCAGTGAACAGATACCAGAGGCAGGTTCCGAATGTCCAATATTTGATTTGACAGAGCCCACAAGAAGTGGATCCTGACGCTGGCTACACAGCACACTATCAATCGCCTTGCACTCTTCGGGATCACCCACAACGGTGCCAGTGCTATGTGCTTCCAGGTAACCCAAGTCATTTGGTGTTAGATCAATTTCCTTGTAGAATTCCAAGAGTAGTTTTTCTTGAACATTTCCCGATGGATAGGTAATACCTTCCGGCTTGTATCCATCACAGTTGGTTTTCGAATAAACAACACTTGCGTAGACACGTTTCGCATCTCTTTTCCTCTGAAGGAATAGGCAGTTAATTGTCTCAGAGCGAGTGTATCCGCTTGCATCTTTGTCAAATGGGCGACAGTAACCGTCCTGCGACAAAACACCGAGTCTGAAACATGGAATATGAGTATTTTACAAAAGCAATAGTGATGACAAGCGAAGAGCTGCTTACCGTGCAAATTGAAGGGTCACAAAGGGATGCAACAACAAATTGGCACCGCCAATAATTGCAGCGTCAATTTCACCATTTCGAATTGCACTAAATGCATTGTCCAAGGCATACATTGAACTGGAGCAAGCCGTGTCAAGCAAAAAGGACGGGCCCTCTAAACCCAGGGTGTACGAAATCCTATTGGCCAGCATTGCGCGACTGCAGCCGGTGATGCCAAAACCCCCCGACGAAACCTTCTCATAGAACCAAGTTTTCTCTGACTCAGATATACAAGATCCGATATAGACGCCAGTTTTCGTACCACGCAGGCTTTTCGGATTGATACCTGCATCAATGACAGCTTCGTACGCTGTCTCTATCAAAATTCGTGTTTGTGGATCCAAAGTATGCGCTTGCTTGAAGTGTACCCCAAAGAATGTTGCATCGAACTTTTCCAGATTGCTGATTTTACCAGATCGCTTGGGAATCTCAGGATTAAAATGACGCCAACGACGCTCATCGTCATCTACCATGTCAATCTGATGAAACAATATTAGCGTGAATCAGAATGACCAATTATGTAATCGATATTATCAACAACTCTTTAGTTTTTAAGATTGAAAATCATTCTAGTTGCTTATATGAAAAATGGAGACTGACTAAATAACATTATATTTAATTATAATATTAAATTTTTGCTCACTCAACATTTTTTTTTACACTGTCTTGCAATTATTAAATGAAAATGTTGAAAAAAATGTTTAACAACTAAAAATTAAATATACAAATTGTAGATTTTTCTGTTTTATAAAATTAGGAAAAGAAAGTCACTCAAATTGTTGAATTTGGATTAATCTTTTGACCGTTGTAAATTGGAAATATTTGTATTAACTTAAAGGGTTGAATTGTTCAAGAAATATATACGAGTATATTATATTTCCACATAAATTTAAAATACACAGATCGTAGTTTCCGAAAGATATTTTCATATTAAAATATTAAAAAATATTATAAAATGAAAGTCCCGTATCTTGTGGGATTAACTTCAGTAAATTATAATATATAATTTATAAATTTTATATATTATATTATCTGGTAATGACTTAATGAACATTTTGGAAATATTTATAAATTTTTAGAGTCACTTGAATTGATCAAGAAATATATATTATTCCAGATAAATATGAACTACACAAATCATTGTTTTTATCAGTTAATTCCGTATTAAAATATTATTTAACGAATGTCGTGTATCTTGTTGAATTAAGTGTTAACTGTTGATTGTTGTAATAAATATAACTTGTTTCCATTTCAAACTTGTGTTGTAATTTTTTGAATTGAAGTAATTCCACATAAGCATTTTTATTTAAATCGATTGTGCGATTGCAAACCTTGTTGTAAAGATTGTACTCGTATTCGGAGATATTTTTGGAATTGGGAAATTTCCCAGCCATTCCAGAAATAACAATATCATCGCCATCTGTATCAGGACGCGATCTAGAGTATTTTTTATTCTTTTTTGCCATGTCAGAAGCCATATCTTTGAGTTTTAAACACTTGATTTGTAATAGGGGTAATGTTATAATTTATTAAACGTCCTTCGACAGGCTTGATTTCACTTGTACACTAAGATATATATCACAATATGGTTAAAGTTTGCGTTTCGTTCCGAAATGTAATCCAGCGAGAGAAAGCGAACGAATTGCCAGACAAACAGCAACTAACCCATACCTTACCCACTAGCTGCTTTTATACACTTATTACGAAGGGCATATCACAAAGTCCAAGAAGGAATAAAAGTGGTGAATACTTTGACCACATACGCTTCCCAGCAAGAAAGTCAACGAATTCCAAATTAATTAAGCAATTGATTTCGCCATGCACTGTGATGTCAATCGCTTTTACATTTCAAGTACAAAAATGTGGGCATCGATATACATATACTCGTATATAGTACTTGTAATTGACTTAATGTTTTCATATAAGTTTCGTTATAAAAATGATCAATTTACAATCCCTGTTTTTTCACATACAGAATTCTTATGAGGTCTATTAACTTTAATGCTATAATTACAAGGTTTAATATTATTTTCATTTTATTGTTTTAATTTTAATGTTTAGTTGGAGTTCCTTAAGGTAACTTTGTACACAAGTTTTCTATTAATCTAAAAATTCTATTCTGCATCGAATTAAATACTATATCATTAACTCAGAGCATTTCCTACAAATTAAAAGATTCATTTGTGTAGCTTAAACAAATTATGGTACAGTTAAACAATCCCAAAAATACGCAATTAAATTTATTTTATTTGGTATTTCCAAAATATGTAGTGTGTTATTGAAATCAATTGGCAAGGGAACAAAGCAAATTTTTTTCAATGAACTATACATACATAGTAGTTTGATATTTTGTTACTTTTAAGAAGTTAATGAACTTGAACAATCGGCGACAACCGGCAAAATGTAAATTAATTCTTCGATCGTTGAACTTACCTAATAGAATGCATACATGCATGTGTTGTTGCCTCTAGTATCTATATATATATATATATATGTATATACCATCACATGTTGTATTTAAAGGCTGAAATACAGAAATAGTTTATTTCGTCATAATCACAAAAATTGTTATTGTGTCTATAATATCTAAAACGTGCATTGGAATAGTTCAATTTTCCAATTGAGTAGTAAATAATAAAACTAATTCAATTTGTAACCATTACCATTATACTTACATTTGTTAGCCCAGTAAATAAAATCTGAGACTTTGATGTATTTTTTGAATGTAATTTGCATGCACAAACTGCAAACATTTTTATATCTCAAAATTTGCTTAAAGTGTTTTGTTAAATATTTATGTGTATGTGTATGTAATGTATGCAAGTGCGCATAATAATTTAGATAAATCCATGATGCATATCTTTAAAAAAGAAAAATGGAAAATGTTAAATTTGTATCAGACCATGGAGCAAGCGACCGGCAATGATTGTTGCTAATAATTTGCAAAAGTGGCTTGATTGCGGCCAGGAAATGCCCCAAGGGTCTTCCACAATCAATGGCAATCAATCGTTTTAGATTTTTCATACCTTTTCATCCATATGCAAGTGTGTGATTCGTGTGCGCATATTTCATCATTTGGCCAGAGGGTGTACATTCTGGCCGACAGTGTTAAATCAAATATTTTTTTATAAGCTCGTTGTTAGGAATGCAAATACACAAACTAAAATTTGAGCCTTCAAGCTTTACCCAGGATCCCAGTCTCAACTAGACACATTAGGCTCAAATATGCGTATTTGTATTCTTATTCAAGGATAAGTGTAGTAATCAATTCGAGTGTTTTGAACAGTTCTTACACTCAATAAAGTGGTCAAATATTAAAAGTCAACTATTTAAATTTGTTGCGTATGTTTTTGCTTATATGATATTGTTTGTTATTAAAATTGACTTAATAATTATAACAAACTTTTGACATACATACTTACAACTTTTAACAATATAACTATGTATGATTGCAGTGGCATACGTCATTTATTTATATTAAATGATTTATTTATTTTACTAAATGTATAATGTAATGTATATTTATTAAGTGAGCAAATTGCACTTTACGCATTGATTGACCGCAATACAATTGGGGAACATACAATAGGAAACCTGTATCTGCAATGCAAATCCCATAAACAGGTTTTTTATTTTAATGAGGTGATCAAAAGCCGGATTGTGTTAATGACGTGTTTGTATTGTGAAACTCATCTGAGTCGATCTCTACGCGCAATCATCGTAAGTTCAAGATTATCTCTCTGTCTTATCACATCGAGACACAAATTTACGTACAGAAATAGAGAGAAAGAGAGAGAGAGAGAGAGAGAGAGAGAGAGAGAGTCAGAGAGGGAAAGCTACCAGTACGCTGTGAAGCTTTTAATCTAAAGCTCAACGATGGGCATTTCTACGAGTTCGTCCAGTGTATCTTATTAGCTCCAAGCTTCCCAGCGGTAGTCTTAAATTAAATTCGGTCGCGTTCACAGCACTTGAATTGCTGGTTTGAGCAGCTAGCAATACTGGCTCACAAGTTTGTCTGGCATCCGTAGGAAAGATTTAAAAAGCGCTAATCAACCGCAGTGCGGCTTTTTGACCGAAAGTCAAGGTTATCACAACTTCAGAAGCCGAGGTTAGTTAAAATTTCTATATTTTGGCAAATTGTTGTGTTATTTTGGAAAAGCCCCATGAACGCATTTGCATATTTCATTTGACGTCATTGTTTACTTGGAATTTTTAATAGTAGGTCAGTCATATTTATTGTTATCATTTTTAAGTGTGCTTGACTCGATTTAACAATATATTTACTGGGTTTTTTTTTTGTTTAATTGTTGTTGAGAACTAAAATGAGTCAAATTACTATATATACATTTGTAAATGCATACTTTAATCGTAGATTATATATTGCTCATATCACATAAGAAGAATCGATATAAAACTGGTATGAAACTTTCCAAATATTGCACATTACTTAGCGAGGTCGGACAACTTTGTTGTTGGCATTGTTTAAAATAATTTGCAACTTTCAAGTTGTTTGAGATCATTAATTTGAATAAATTAAAGTTATTTTATTATTTACTTTATTTTGTTAAAAATGTTTATAAGCAAACTAATTACGCTATTTATTTTGCAGATCAATATGGATAAACATCTCGAATTGGCTGTTTTAGGCCTGGTTTTACTTTCATGTGTGTATGCTCTTCCCCAGGGTGCTTCAAATGTGGATAAAAACATTATGGATATCTTTAACACAAGTCCAAGCATACCAAATCAGTCGCAACGCCAGAACGGGTTCGCTGAGGTCGTTACACCCGTTCCCATAGATCCTTCGAGTCCGGTGATTGATTTCACATCAGTCAGCGGCAAGACGTCAACTTGTAATTGTGTGCCCTACTACATGTGCGATCCCTCGACGAATAGCATTACTGAAGACGAGTCGTTTGATGGGTTTGGAAAGATTGATATTCGCTTCGGCGACAACGACCCCATTTGCCCCGCATCTATAGATGTTTGCTGTGAAGGCAATCGCACACGCGATGTGGTCTTGAACCCAACGCCCCTGGATAAGAGACCGAACCAACCGCGAGGCTGTGGAATTCGAAATGTTGGTGGACTGGACTTCGAGCTAACTGGCGCCACACAGAATGAAGCCGGTTTTGGCGAGTTTCCATGGACTGTAGCCTTGTTGCACACCGGCAATTTTAGCTACTTCTGCACCGGTTCGCTCATCCATCCCCAGGTGGTGCTGACTGCTGTGCACTGTTTAACAACACATGCACCGGGTAGTTTCATGGTACGAGCTGGTGAGTGGGATACACAAACGACCAGGGAACGTCTACCATATCAAGAGCAAACGGTACAGCGAATCATAACACATCCTCGATTCAATAGCAGGAACGTAGCCAATGATTTTGCACTCGTTATACTTTCTCAAGAATTCACACTGGATGATCACATCAGAGTGGTTTGCCTGCCCGAACACGGCACCAATCCTGTACCGCAGACCACCTGCTTCTCCACCGGTTGGGGCAAGGATGTCTTTGGCGTTGCTGGCAAATTCAGTGTTATCATGAAACGAAAGCCGTTGCCAGTGGTTGAATTCAATAGCTGCCAGGCACAGCTGCGAAATACGCGACTTGGACCTAAATTCGTTTTGGATCGGTCTTTCATGTGCGCTGGCGGACAGCTAGATGTGGATACCTGTCAAGGCGATGGCGGCGCACCGCTTGTATGTCCAATTGGATTACCATCTGAGAATCGATACCAGCAGAATGGCATTGTGGCCTGGGGTATTGGATGCAATCAACCAGTGCCAGCTGCCTACGCTAATGTTGGCGTCGCTCGTGATTGGATCGACCAGCAAATGCTGGCCAATGGCTTCGGTACTAATACATATACACCCTAAATTGGATTGCATTTAGATTGTGTTAAGCTATGGAATTAAATGATATGATATGATGATGATTAATAATAAATACCGACAATGCATACAGCTCACAACCCCAGCGAGTATACGTCAGCTAGTTGTAGTATTTAGGAATGAGTGGTTTCTATCTTTTGATTACGTTGAGAAAGTTTAAGGAGCAGTAACTCGGCTATGGAAAAACTCAAAGAGTGCACTTAAATTAAAGTACTTTCAGTAACCATTGTTATTTTAAGACTTGAATGCAACCATAAAATACAAATGGTAAAGAATGTGACTTTAATTAAGAATTCCGACGGCGGCAAATTAAGTTAAAGAAGCAAAGAGACGCATCCTAAGCCTGAAATGGTGTCAAAAATTCTTCTCACTTGAAAACCACCCACAAAGTGTTGCAATTATATTTGTCGTGCATGCGCTGCATGTGCGGGTAGTCAGCTGAGCAAAGCACACACACACATACACACACACACGCACGCTCACACATAGAGACACACACATAAGCAAAACGCCGGAGATGGCTGAAATGGTGACGATGGCACCGCCCGCACCTGCATTTGAATTGCAGCATCTGGATGCAGCTGGTGCCACCAAGCCGAGTCTCATTTCAGTCCGCTGTGTGCGTCCGTCTCCCCGGACTGTTCGCTGCTCGTTAACCGTGCAGTGTACGAAGTATAAGGTGACTGAGTCACTGTATAACTGTAACATAACATGTGCTTAACCCAAAAGCAGACGCACCCTATCACCAAACGCCACATGCCACACACCGCACCCGGCATGCCACACGCTAACATGCCACCCAGTCACATTGCCACCAGACACCGACCCTCCAACGACATGTTACAGCCTAATTGCAGTTTTTCAAATGTTGCAGTTGCTTCCGAAAAAATTAGGGTCATGGAATTTTAAAGGCGCCTTTACTATTGGAGTAGCTGGTTGTTAAAGGGCACAGGCGCGCATTGGTCGTTGGTAGCGGATGTAAAACGAGTTTGGCTTGGCTTCGCTTGGCTTGGGAATGCTCTTGTAATGCCATTGGAATGTCAGCTTCTTCTTCGGGGAAGCACTTAAATAAAATTCCCATTATCACTCTTAGCACAGAAGCATCAAGTGCAGAGCCGAATGTGTGGTTCAGTTTTCGATTTAATTTTAACGATTATTAGTATTCAGCATCTTAAGAAAATTTAACTCGCTCCAAGCTTAATAGCTTCCCACCATTGACAATATTGTTAGCGATTGAGAATCGCAAATTTTACTGAAATGTTGTCATATGGTTATTAGCAATAACTTAAATGAGCTTTCAGGTTGTGGCTTAAGGGCTGGTAGCATAAACCACTTAATCTTTGGCGGCTGAGAACGCAGTCCGGAATCCGGAATTGAAATGATTGGCATAACGACGTCAGCCAGCTGCGGCTATAATAACTTAAAGAGCATTTACCAACAGACACGGCAGGCAATTCCCATCTTCACTCTAACCACTTACCCATTACAACATTACCCGATCTCTGGTGAGGTGGTGGCATGACTAACGCAATGGAGAAAGTTTCAGCATAAGGCCATCACGGCCTGCATAAATTCCATAAGGACACCGTCAACTTCCACAGCCACCCGCTCCCACCTCGTCCCCCACTCTGCCTATGCGTCGATTGCGGTGCCGGTGCTTAGGCGCCGTAAAATAGTTGAAATATTTGAAGAACTTTTACTGACTTAATGAGGGCTTAAATGGCTTGCATTTGTATATGCAATTGTTCGTAACTGCTTTCATTTCAGTTTTCGAGAGGCACATATTGTTTTCAATAAATTTTTCAAAATTAATGTTAATGCCAAAAATCTCTGAGGAAGTATGTGGATTTCAAGTCTCCAAAGCGTAATTATCAGATAATTTTGTTTAATTGCTTCGTTTGCATTTTATTAAGAAAACCAGGTATATTTTGTTATTAACAATCGATTATGAAATCAAAATGAACTTTTTCGACATTCTCTATTTAAAAAATATTATGTGCTTTTGATCTTGAGGTTAGGCCAGGACAAAATCAGATTCCCCATAGAAATCTCTTCAGTTTTGGCAAAATTATGGAACCACAAAAAAATCTGCATTTTACAGCATGCCTTTAGCAAAAATAATACGATTATGGAAAAGTTATTAGTCCGTTGAATTTAATGCATATTCAATACATTTCCATACAACATTTTATCGGGTTGACTTTACTATTTTTGTGTAAAACTCCGACTTACAAATGAAATAAATGAAACTTTCCAAACGAACTAACACAAATTGGAAGCAAAAACTGATGGCAGCCCGGACTGATTGGCGAACAGGAGCTGAACAGAAAGACGGACAAGCTGCCGTGTACAAATACGTGAAAGAAAAGATGAAATTCTCGTTGCAGGAAAATGTTCCATTAATTTTTACATACAATGACCTGAATCAGCGTTTTTGGTGTTTCGCCTCCATTCTGGGGCTACGCCGCGACGTGGGCGTGAGTAGGGACAATGACTTCACCAATTACTCGGGCAGGAGGATGCAGACGTGAGTGTGGCTGAAGCTTGCTTCCCAATGAATTCGGGCTCAGGTGGGGAGTTTGCGCATTTGCCATTGCAGCACAGCATGCAACGTGGTGGTGCTGAAGCTGAAAAGCGTCGCTTGGAACGTGCAGAGAATCTAAAAACAATTTGTAAAAAGGCTGTGGATATCTAAGGGAACGTGCAGGATGCTTGAAATTAAATAAATTATAACACACCGATGATGATATACCCTTCGCAGGCTGATTAAATAAAACTATCAGAACGGAAACAAAATTTAAAGTTCCTAAATTGTTTCTTCCTTCTTTTAAAGATGATGAAGGTATTTTGATCGTCTCTCTTGGCCTCTCATTTGTCAACAAGTACTTTTGCTCAATTTTAAATTCATCATGTTGCAAACAACGTCGCATAGTTTTAATACATATTGCTGAGCTGTAAATGAATTAACTGGCCAGCCAGCCACTCACAATTTTGCTAGCCTTTCATTTGTAGCTGCAGACTAAAAATAAGGCAGTGCCAACTAAATTACTTATATGTGAATGTGGTTAAATATATTTCCCTGGCAGTAAAGGTCATGAGTCGGGTGACCTTATATTGACTTAAGCTCCACACATTGCATTATTTATTCTGGTCTGATTATAGAGTTGTTTGTGGACAAGTTGAAAATTTTGAGTCCCTAGACTAAGTTGCAAAAATGTTTAATGCATAACTGACAATGTTGGCTGACATGGACTGAACATAATTCAAGACGTCAGCATTGAAAATAATGTAAGTGCATTTCTGATATAGTATTTTGGTTCGCTTTTCATACCTTACACTTATGCTTTGTACATTGTGCACTTAATAGTACGCATGATTTAGCAACTAAATATGTTCCTATTATATGATTGTTGCGAACAATAAATTCTGGATGCACATTTATGTACATGTAAGGTAAGTAGCCAAATAAATGTTCTAAACGTTCTAGTCCTTAGACAATGCATATAGATATGGGTATCTGTGAATGTGTATTGAATTGCAAAAACAACTTAAAACCCAAGTGCTTTAACGTTTTTATTTTGTGTTTCGCTTACTGATTTTATGAAACGAACGAAAAACATTTCGGCAAATCATGGTAAATGACCAATGGGTAAGACCACCCAGTGTGCTGTGTTAAACTGGAATGCTACGTAAATATATTTTTATGTGTGCATGTGTATACATTTTTGCAGGAGCGTAGCCTTTATTTTTCGTTGTCTGTTTTAGTTTTAAATTCTGTTGATCATGTACAATATTTATTGTTTAAGCTGCCGCTGCTAACGAATAAATAGCTAACAGAAAAACAAGATTTGAATACACTCCATGGGACTTCGGTAGATTCGTAAAAACGTTAAAATATAATAATAAAAACAATTATTAGGTAAATATATTCAACATTGAATATTTGCGGAACAAAGTCACATCCATATGCAATCAATACGCTTTCGATGCAAAATTAAACACTTTTTTTTTTTGGTTTTAATCCCTTTCTACGCCACTGAATGTATCTGCGACCATATAGACTATATCTGTAAATGCTTGTGTATACAGTTGTATGTATCTGTTATTGTTGCTGATGCTGGTATTGCTGGCCATTTTAACATTGTTTTATGGTTTTGGCAGCATTTAAACAGCGAATTCATTAAATTCCTGCACAAAAGTGGAGTACGCCCTTCTGTCAGTGAAACAAACACAAATCAATGCACATATATTTTGTAACTGCATATACTACATATGTAAACTTTTTCCCTATTTCTAATTTATATCATATACGAGAGCTAAAAAAAAAAATAGCAAACGCCAATTCTCGCGTTTAAACAAAGATAGCAAGCAATTTAAAAGACTTGTATATAAATGCTTTTAGAATTTTCAATTTTGCTTTATTATCTTATTGTTTGTTGCTTTGGCTGTGGCATTTCATTAGGTGTAATATTGTGCCCGACTCATTTGCAGTAGAAATTTATTGCAAAGTGCTTGTGGCTATTTAACGTTTTTAATTGAAAAAGTTTTGTTTTTGTTGTCGAACCAAGAGCCAGACTCCCCAGGTCTTCTGCCTAGCTTCTGCTTCTGATTTGTAGAACTGAGCAGATACGTCGGTTGGTCACTGCTGGTAACCGTTGTCTAAGTTGCTGTGGCTGTCAGCGACAACTACTTGCAGCCACTTATCATAATTAGCCCTGTGCTAGTGGTGCAAATGAAGAAGTTTTGCCTCAGCATGCTAACCAGAGGTGCCCACTTGCTACACAGGCCCATTAACAACTTATTGCCATTGGATCGCTGGGTGGTTGCGCGATTGGGTGGCTCTACGGCTATTACGCTTAACTCCGGTCATGCCGCTGCCGACAAAGGAAGCTCTCGTGAATAAATTTTCATAACGAGAGACAGTCAGTCACTCACTCTACTTATTGTTTATTGTAAGAGCTGCTTCATCATTATTGACAGACGTAATCAATTGCAGTCCATTAGACTTTGCAGTTGGCTGCAGAAAACAACCATAATGAAACAAGCCAACTCTTGAATATTACTGTACAGTTTGGATACAGGGCATATCCACAGAGAATATCCATACTGCACAGTAATTTTCTTTTCTGTTCTGTTCTTTATTAACGTTGGTAAGTAAAATGCGATTGTAAATTATTTAGTAAGCAACCATTCTTTAAAAAAATGCCAATTTATGTATTCATAATAAGATTTTGACGATAGAACTTAATTCTGGCAGTATTATACCTTAGTCACGAATTTTGTTACGCATTGATGAAGACGTCTCCAATCCCAGAAGGTCATGTTTCTTTAGCGTAGCTAAGAAAGGCGAAATTTCTTGAGTTTTTTTAGACCTTAGCAAACTAAGTTTTCCTATTTATTTTGAATGTTTATTGCTATTTACGGAAAGGTTGTACTTTTATCAGCACTGGAATTGACAAATTCCGTAATTTGATTTCGATGTATACTTCAAAGACGATATTGCTGTTGTATTTATGTATACTTACCACACCGATAACACAATAAATGAATTCAATTATAATAATACGTATATTCGTTTATTACCCTGTTTCATGATTAAGCCCCAAAAATTATAAATAATTAATAACAAAATGTTTACATATGTTTTTGATTTGGTTTCTGTGGGAACTGAATAATCTCATTAAATTTGTCCTGGTCTCCCGTTGAGTTCATTACCGAACATTTTTGCAATGGCAGCATATTATATTTGGTTCGGAAATGAACAATTACTGAAATGTTTTTGAATTAGAAGAAACACTTAAATCGCTAATGCAGACAAACGCATCTATTTGCGATTATTTGGCTGGCTCTCTGTTTGTGTTTAACAATCTCTAAAGTTTTTCAACTATTCTTGTAGTATGTATGATTCATTTTCTTTCACTATGAACGATTATATAGTTAGCACATTTAATATGTGAATGGTATTTAATAACTGATGTATTTATTGTGTACTTAATGTATTCAAGCACGTACATATCTAGAAAAACAGCACTGGGTCTTTGAAACCTGCCGTCAAATTTGAAATATCGTACTTGTCTCTTTTATGCTATCTGACATATTTTTTATAGCCATTTTAATCTGTAAAAGTAGTGAACCAAATTAAATTTTTTGTTAGACTTTAAAACAGTTTTTGCTTGGGTATTCACAAGTACAATATGCACATATGTAAAAACAAACATGTTTATAAAGTATTTTGCTCTTGTACTGAATGTAGTTCCATTGAAATGAGTGAATAATTCTCATTTATGGCGCTTAACTTAACTATTTAAGACTGCATTGGTGACCTTACAGATTTCGTATCTATCTTTATGTCTTCCTAATATGTTTGTAACTTTGAGTATTTTAGATATATAAACTTTCAATAATTTTAATAAGTTATCATTGTTGGTTTTTAAGGCAAATAAAACTCTCAAGTTATGCTCCCAACGGATACGACTAACCGCGATATACATACATATTTTAAATATATTTTCTAAACTCCATGCTCTTACTTACATCTAGAAATTCATGAAATATGAGTTCTATATATAAACTGTATATTATATTAAGTAAATGTAGATGAGGACCTTCATCATACATTTTGTTGTTGGCATTAAAATTTATACTAAGTACGTTGATTTCGCTAGATGCATTAAAACAATTTTAAATTCTCGACTCGAGACCCTTTGCTTACCCTAAATAGGTAATTTGATTTGGGTTTGGTTACAGGATAGCCTCTAAATTGCCCTTTTACGATTAACCGTAGAAATATGCATAAATTTCAATTGCAAATTTTACTAACTTGATTAGATAAACGATTCTGTGTGTTTGAGTCTTACAGTATTTACAAGTAGAATAGCTCTTCGTCCATTGCCTCTTGGCTTTTGGTAGTTTCGGAAAGAAAATGGCAAACATTCGCTGGGCTATGAAACTGATCCTAGAAGCACTGGCTGCGCCCAGATGTAGACATTGGCAAGCCGCTGCCAGAGGTGGGCGTGCTCATTGTCTGGCGAGTGTCACTGGCCGAGTTTGTAGGCTTCATTGACAGTAGAATGGATGCTGGTCCTGGCGAGGCAGTCACTGTGATCGCTGGTATATCCGACTTGTTACTATTGGTGGGTGTACCCGCACGGCTACCATTTGCTTCAGCAACTGTTGGCGATCCCAAACCAATAGTAGCCGACATCGGAAGCATGTTGAAGTTCAAGTGCGGCTGCGGTCGCACCGCAATTGCGATTGGCATTGATGGTTTGCGGTTAAGTGAGTGTCATCCATAGTAATACTGCCCACTGCTCTCCGTCGACAATCCACGTGCCAGACTACGCGGCACCGTGCTGTCATAGTAGACCCCACTGCCGCCGGTCGAGGCCATTGAGTGGGGCGGCAGAGGCATGCCTGTTCCTGTTCCCAATATCGCCGGCGGTGGTGATGGTGAGCTCATCAGACCCATGCTTGTTGGGATTAGAGTACGCCGTAAGGTGCCAGCATGCGTATGCTGATGTCCAGGCACCATTATTGTGCCACTTAAATAAGTGGGCGGAATGCCACTCAAGCCCGACGGGCCCAGCATGTGTGGACCTGTGGTGCGACAAGAGGGTAGGGTGTATCAATGTGTATATAACCGGTGACTATCGTTTTCATGTTCTGGTTTTCTTTTCCATATGCTACGAATGTGTAACATAAAAAAGCAGAGCCAGTTGCTTGTCGGGACGATATTTTAATACCTTTAGTGGGGCTATTAATAAGCGAACCAGCTCTTAAATTTAATTTACGTGAATTACAAAAATGTTGTTCATGTCCACTTTACTTATATGTTTTAATAGTGGTGCGTTACTTACCTATAGTCATAGCCCCACTGACGACTGGATGGCCCATGCTTGTGTATATGGTGGGCTGTGAGTGTGGTGCCATCATTACACTGGGCGCTGTGGACGAGGGGTGGTGGGGTTGGGCGCCCGATAAGCCAGCGTAGTTACAGTTGGGCGTCGGTGCGTATGTCATGTAGGTCTTTTGTTTGTTTGGACATAACCCAACAGTTGGCAATGCCATTTTACGGCGCATGCAGATGATGCCGAGTTGTTGACGTTCAGGATGACGGTGACGACAAAGGATATGAAAAGGCAGAGCAAAGTAAAGCAGAGTTAAGCTGGTGCTCATTTATTCTTGCAATTCGAAATGACAACAGTCCGGTCGAGCAAGATCTGGCTCCCTCATATCTGTCACAAAGACGCGTTAACTCCTTTGCTGCATTTTAATAATACTTGTAATCCATTCAATTATAATGAGTTAACCGGTTTATAATCTGGACCGATATCATTTTTGACGCATAGAGTTCATTTATTAACATTACCCATATTTTAAATGTATGTGTATAAAATCAGTTTTATCATGTTTTAAATCAGTTGGCAAACAACATTTATCATTTTTCCTTTTTAGATCAAATAATTATCGAGAGTCTCCCAATCGAAATGTAAGCTACTCAAAATAATCTGCAGGGGCTTAAAAGATTCAGCAGCCCGAATTTGCTGTAAACATTTTTGTATTTATTTTTTCTCATCTTTCATGCGTCAAATACCTTAGGCGCTTGTCTGTGCGGTACAGGTGCAGTAATTTTCATTTCAACCTTTCAACAATGCCCAACAAACCATCTTTATATATATATATATATATAGTTATTCTTGTATAAGGCTGTTATGGTTTTTGTTGCCGCTCGTTTTCCTCATGCTCAGACCCCTTGAAATATACAACGAGAAATACAAAAATTGTTGCAACGAGCATTTGGAGCAAGGCTAGTAACATTTTCCCAATGGTGGTGGAGGAGCCGAGGATGGCAACGGGCCGATTTAAGGACTCCTTGCTTTTGTTTGTCTAAAATGGGTTAAATGGCAAGGGAACTTCCCTGGCGCCCAGTTTCCTCTCATTTCCTTTCAACAGAACCACAACCAGTCCGTTGCTTTTGATGCGCCCTCGTTGTCTATTGTCAGCTTGGGCAAGAACAATGAAATTTCCATATTTAGAAATGTTTATTTACCTAAGGTAATGACTACAGGTAATGGTCGAGCCACTTGTTTAGCACATAATCACTAAGGCACAAGGGGCCAGTAGTCATTACAGCTATTGGAAGGTGATTTTGTTAATTACAGCATTTTGCCTTTTCATCATAATTGTTCCGATAACTACATAACTAGTCAACATAACTGAGCTCTAACATTCAAAACTAACCGTGAATAGAACAGCATATCCAAACTGCATACTCACACACAGAACAGACTCGATAAACAATTTTAATTGGAACTCACCTCGTTCCTTGATGATAGGCCGGACAATGGCATGGGGGCGGTTAAGTCCACGTCAACATCAATGTCGGAAATGTCGTCGCCAAATGTGTCTGCCAGGTGGGTTTCACCTGTTGCCAGCTGTTGGAAATTGCTAGCAGCACCTGCACCGACACCTGAACCTCCAGTTCCCGCTGCTCCATCCATTGGTGTATCTGCAAAGTTCTTGGCAACGCCGCTGACACTGGAGCTCCTTTTCAAACGTCCGCCACGTCGCTGAAGGGTGAGACGGCCGATGACAAGCGTCAGACAGAGTAGAACGCCGGCAGTCACCGATATGATTAGATACAGGTAGAATTGTTCCTGGTGCTCTGCATGCGAAAGTAAGTCAAAGTACAAGAAATATTGCATATAAGTCAGGGGCTTTGCGAATGTATTCCTTATTTTCCTAATGGCAACAACAAGTAACAAGTAGTTAGTTTAAGCCTGACGGAGCAGCATGATGAGTTTTACAGTTGGTTGATCTTCACTGACAGTGTGCTCGTCAACGGGTTGTCTGCATTTGTGTGGCAGGAGCGTTGTGAGTTAAAGTTTTAATCGGGCGACTTTGTTTATGACTAAAACGAAATCAAAAAGTTTACCATGTGGTGAGCAACGAGCAGGATGCAACGTGCAGCACATGCAACTTTGTGTGGGTGGCCGCATTGTCAACCTTTTCCCTCCACCCCTACCAGCCTTCATGCTCTGTTGATGACATTCGCTGAGGCTGACAGCCGTGAGTTACTTTTGAGGCATGGAAATGGGGAAACGGGAAGATGATTTTTTTTCTTTTAACATCGTCTGCAGTGTTTCGAAACGTGACATGGCTGATGGTATTAGTTCATGTTGTTCTTGCCGTTCTCGTCTTCACCCAAGTTGTGTGTTGCATGGAAAGTGTGCGTTTGTATACCTCTGCATTTGTGTGTGTGTGTGTGTGAATAAAAACTTCGATTAGTTACACATGAAAGCCTTAGCTGTACGAACGACATGCCAAAGGGAAACACAACGCGGGGATCTCTCAACTCACTTCGGATGTATAGATAGGTGTTCAGCCAATTTGCCAAGAAACCAACCACTTCGACACGTTCAGTGACGATATCCTCCTCGGTGCAGTTCAGACCAATTGGCCCCCAATCATCAACCATCTGGCACTTGCGGCGATAGAAGAAATTTGCCTTCACTAAATCAGCTCCTTTACTGATCTCATCATTAGCATTAGCAACCATATCATAGCCTTCTGTCTCCAGCTCAATGCCATTTTCCACATTAACTTCATTTCGAGTAGCATCGGTCGTTGTGATAATTTGTTCATTGACCAATGTAGTTGACGCTACCGATTGATGGGTGAATGACTCTTTTATACGGTTTAAGAGCCGCATAGATGACTGTAATCGCTCTGCGAAAAATGGCAATGTGCGAGCATTTTTTTGTGTTAAGACCTAAATATTCTGAGACGACCTAACATCCATCAAAGGCAAACGCAAATATTGCCAGCAGACGCTACGACGACAGCATACATTATCTGACGCAAGTTAACGTTACTCGAAAACGCAAAGCTTGCTTGAATGCGCAGCGAGCATGGCTCAAACGCAAGCTACCCAGCTGGCTAATGAAGACGGATGGCGTGCTCTTAAAATATTTATGTACAATACGCAGTGCCTTTGTAGTAAGCGAAAGACTCCGAGAATGCCGCCACGGCATACGCTTTTCAAAGCTCGTACGAACACGCGACGCTCTGCAACACTAAATTATAAATCTATTGTTGTGCCACAGTATCAATCTGTGCAGTATTCGCTAGTTTCTAAGCACGTGACCGACGACTCCACTAAGAAACTCAACAGCACAATAAACTTACCAAGCTTATACGAATTTTATATAAAGATATGCAAGAGTAGAGCTTACCTTCCAGGGTGCCATCGTTGCGTGACAGTAGAGGCGGCAGGAGTGTGCTCGTTGCTTCTTCTCCGGCAACATTGGCATCAAAGTCAAAGGAGCGACCCACATTGGCACCTTGTAGCTTTGGGGCCGGCGGTATGGCCTCAGACTCTTTGTAGAACTGATCCTCGTCGTAAAGTTCATCTTGGTCCAAGTCTAGATCGGTTTGTTGCGGTTCATCCGACTCAGCAGCTGTCTCATAGCGATCTTTGAGCACCTTGCGGGGTACTTAAATTGAACAAGCTCACTTGATTACGGAAGAAATCAATTGGAATGCAAGTGAAAGTAATACTTACTGCATGTATATACGACCTTCAGATACATTCGCACATCAGTCTTGCAGGGCCGACCAAAGGTGCCGGCATCTGCTGTTACCGAGCAGCGCCGTCGTCCATGACAGATTTGCATCACAGTCTCTGTGGCGTAGGAGACAAGGCAGGCTAATAAAAAACGAATATACTTTGAGATAGGAAGGCACTTAGTAACATATGTATATATGTTTGCTTACTGGGTTGGCCGGTGTCCTCTCGGTTAATGTGGACACTACCTGATGGCCCGCCCTGGCCACCGCACTGGACACTCTCCCGCTCCGTGTGACCAAAGGAAGCACTGTAAATGGCAATGCGAGAGTACGGATTGCACATCAGTGGCATATTGTCGTTCTCGCAGGCCAACTTGCTACGGAATTCGTCTGTTACCGAGGACAGGCATACAAAAAATGATTGAAAATATGTAATAAAAGTACGTTTAAAAAATATGCATTAATTAAAATATGTTTTAATTGCGCTGATTGGAATTTTCAGGATCATTACCATACGACCAGAGCATAAATAAATAAGAGCAAACAAAAGTGGTCAGATTTTTTTCTTTGTAATCTTTTTTCTGAGATAATTCACAGTAAAGTCGATTTGATTGAATTATTGTATAATAATTTGAATTCATATGCTATGTTGTCCAAAATGGATTAACAACATGTTGCATAATTCAAAGCACAAGACTTTTTAAATCGCATTAATTACTCATACGCCTTGTTGCCATTAACTTTTGAGTTGTCATTTCATATTAAAAACGATTTATAAAGTTAAATTAGGCGAGTGCACACATTACAATTAGCTAATAATAACATTGCATTGGAAATGTCATACATGTTTCATTTCATACATACATTTTATGAAAATGTTTGCTTTTCTACAAACTTTATCAGCAAGTCACACTCTTTTAATTAAAATCAATAATTACTATACGAAAAAATTAATTAAAATAAATTATGCACCTATCCATTCAAACGTCAAAATAAATTTAAATAAGCACTTGCCAATGCATATTCATTAGTGTATATTTTACAGTTAAGCCCATATTGTATACTTTTGTAAGTATCAATGTTACATTAATTAATCATACGCCATGTTGTCTTTAACTTAATTTGATAAATGAGTTCTACGACACTGCGCTACAAGAAAATCAAAGTAAAATATATTATCCAATTACTTTTTGTTAAGCTATGTATTATAAATGTTTAAGGGCATTTCTCTCTATTGCACATAGTATGTGTACATATGATGTATACGTCTTACAAAGCAATCTGTTGGAAGTCAGCCAAACTGAGATTTGCAATTGTCAAAGTACAGTCAAGAACGATTTTCAACATTTTCGTCTGCTTTTGCTTGCTTTGCTCAAAGTGGCCCGGAAAGGGTCCAAGCTTAAGCAATTATAAACTGTGCTGCTGGCGCTCTTTTTCTTGCTTTGCACTTTTACAGGCACCTTTAAGTGCTATGTACGATATGTATGTAGACCTACATATATTAATAATATATACATCTCTACTTATATACATAATTTGATGAATACCAAAAGGAATTTCTGTAGCAAGAGTACGGTCCGAGATGAACTTTAATAAGTTTAGTAAATATTTGCATAGCATGTTTACAGGCCTGGGCTTTAGGCAATGACTGCATAGCCCCGGCCCTTGGATGCGACTCCCACATGGTACGTGCACGGTCGTCCTATTGGGTGCTGTGATTCCCAGCTCCGTTTGAGAGTGCGAGTGCACGTTTTATTATTGAGAGACGTGAGAAAAGTTGAAAATTGCCATATTTTTATGACCACAATGTGCCGTCTGGCACGGTGTATGCTCTTCCACCACTCAGTCTTTCAGTCATTGCCAGCGGTGGCGATGATTGTGGCTCTGACTCTGGCTGTGACTGCTATGCAATGTTCGCCTGGAGCTCCGGAGTTGGGCTTGGGGTTGCTTGCGCTTACACGCACATAACCAGGCCGTCATTTTTCAACGTTTTCCACTCGTACTTTGCAGTTTTATTACTTGTCGCTGGTGTCCATAATGAGCAAAAGATAACAGACAATTTAGAAAAAAAAAAACGGCTCTCCTTAATTATATTACCTCTCCAAGGCCCCTGCAGTGCCCCTTGGTTTCCCCGACAACGTGCTAGCCAAGTACTGAGCTATGCGGACCAAGTACAAGCAAACTGCCCTTTTTCAACCCGCTGTGCATTTCCCTTTTCTAATTTGAATGCTGCGCTGCTCTTTTGTCTCGCTCCTGTTTGTTTCACTGCTTCGGTTTGTTTGTGTGCTTTTTAACAAGATAACATCTGCGTCACTTGTCACAAAAAAATACAAAAAAAATTCCGTGAAAAAAAGGAAAATAATATTTCCGGCAAAGTTGCAAAGTGCTGAGAATGGCAGCGAATGGCTAAAGGGCTGTCGCAAATTACCAAAGAATTACATAGAATGAAGAGATCTTTTCGGCTCTGGCAGCTAGAATCTCAATACAGTCCAATTGAACTGTCTGCTGGGGGCATTAAGAACTCGTTTAACGATTGTCATCCAATGGCAAAAATGCCAACGCCTCAAAAGCAAAGTGATTCAATGGAATGAGGCTCCTCTTAGGTGGCTTCATCTGTTCGTTTATCGGCTTTAGTTTACCGAGTGATTACGATTAAACATGAATTGCTAAGCGGATCGTAAATAATCGAGTGCCATTAGCCCAATCACTATTGGCACAGTCCAAACGGAGTGTGAAGGAGGCGGAGTGCTGTGAAAAAAATGAGCACGGAAAAACTATGCAAATAACTCAGCAAAAAGTTTATTCAACTATTTTAATGCTGAAAAAAGCAAATGCAAAAGCGCAACTGCATTTTTCATTATGCTTATAGCTGAATTTGCAGCACAAGCCAAGCATTGCCCTGTACCAGGCACCCTTATCACTATGAAGTTCTATTTAATTGAAGTTCTCATTTATTTTACTTTGGCGCCTTTTGATAATTATTATGATAACACTTTTTATGCTTTACGTGGATGCCATTTCACTTAATTATTTTTATGAGGAACTCTATCGATGTTATTATATAATATCTGGATTTTACAAATTGTGTTAGCTAAGCGATAATAAAATACACAAAAAATCGTTGGACAAGATATCAGTTATAATATTATTCGATTGATTCTTGTGACTGTTCTTTGCAAATGGGTCACTGATTTTCGACTATAAATAGCTATAGGCTTCATATACTGTTTACCTGTGGAATATTTATAGATTCTATAGACTAACTGGAGATTGAAAAATATACTATAACACAAAACTGGAGCATTTGTACTTTATTGGCATTAAAATCATCTGCACGATGCTTGAATAAATGATTGCTTATTTCTTTTAGTGAAAATAAATTTGTTTGTTTGCTACCGAACTTAAATTGATGTTTGGCACTTTAGCATCTGGCAAATATTCATTTTGCCACTGAGCAAATAAAATATATATCATGGTACATGCGGCAAGGACAAAAACGAGAGGCAGATAACCTGGAATGCTCTACAACTCTCGACTCGGCGCAATCCGCATCGATTATATTTTTTAAAGTGCATGCAAGTGTTTGTGTACGGACAAAAGTACCGGTTGGCTGACCTCGTAAAGGCCTGGCATACTTACATGGACGGCATTTGTAGGCAATCTCGACGAATTTTCGTATGCCCGAGCAAGGATCCCCAGTGGTGTGCGTTTTGGAATTCGCAGCGAACTTGCAATGCCTCTTCTTTTGGCAGGCATCCACCACAGTCTGCAGCAGGGCATACTATAAGAAAATACAGTTACAAAAAGCAAGATATAGTGGCTATATGTAGGCCCAGTGCATGTATATAGGATATTGGTAGAGTAAGTGAGCGGGTTCGATGAGGGTGCTATTGATAGATTGTTGGGCGCAGATGGCAACTGCAGCCACATCCTTGAATTTGGTGGCGGCAAAGGAACAACAACGAACAGCGACCAACAATGGATGCTGGCTGGCGCTGGCATGGCGCCACCTCAGCTGCAGAGTCGTAAATCTCTGTCTGCCTACAAGATTAAGCTATGAATGCATTTCATATGCCTTAACAATTCCACCAGGCGCAAAAAGCGGCAAACAGCACTCAGATGTTGCATATGTAATGCTGCATATGCTAGTCGGACTACATATATTGTGTCTGTGTACGTACAGAAGCTGTAGTCAGTGCTTAAAATTCCGCAGAACAGTTGTTAGCCAGCCAGTTTAACTGGCAAGTATGAATAGGTGAATAATTATAATTTTGTTCGAATTTGTAAAATGACTCGGGGCGCGATAAGCGGACAAGAATTTTTGGATGACAAATTCAACTTTAATCGGATTATACATATACCGCACAGCAATTAAAAGGATGTTTTCGATTTCTTTCATATTAATTTTAAGTCAATTAAATTTATATAATTCGTTTATAGTGTATTTGTATTGTATATATATGATCAAACATAATCTAAATTCTTACTTGTTGTGTGCAATTTAAATAAATTACATTAATATGGTAAGGGTGTTATCACCACTACAACGAAGCTCAGTTAAAGCCAAATAATTTGATTCGTTATTAAACAGTCAGATTTTAGAACCGCACTTTGTGTCTCACACACAAAAGTACACAAACCGTAATTGCATTTTGAGGTTACTACGAAGCTCCTCTGCATGCGTATGGAACGCACGACTGCTGCTTGTGACTCGTCTCGTCATAATTTGTTTACCCTCGTTTCTGGTGTCGTTCGAGCATACACTTGCCTCTCTCGCACTGGCTTATGGGTCACTCGCAACTCGCAACTCACATCTGGCATTGGGAATCTGCAGTATGGGGTAACTGTGGCGTTGCTGCAATGTGCCCAGCCCCATAAGTCAAGAGTCAAACTTGCGGCCGGGCGCAGTTCAGTTCCGTTTTAAGGAGCCACCGGAAATGAAGCGTGAGTATCCTGTCCCTGGCCGTGTACCCGATGCGGTTATGTCACACACCGCACATGAAGTCATCGTCTTACTTTAAATTGATGTGCTCCATCAAACGAAATGGGGAAAGCTTCGTCACAAACCGTTTTTGAAGGATATGGTTCAATGAAAAATTAACTACTATACAGGTTCCTCCCACACAGCTACACAATATTGCCGATTGCGAATACCAAACGACCTCATAAATGTGACAAATTGCGGCATATATATACAAACATTCACATGTGAGGGCAAACCACTTTCACAGCACTAAATTATTTTGGAATTGAAGTTCAATTTGATATAGAGTTTTTAATAGGATATGTTGGGTAGATACCCTAAATCACTACAACGATATTAATGACAGTCGCAGTCAAACAGCCTTGATATTTTGATTGCAGTTGCCTATATTTATCCACATATACTAATATTCGCCATTGCAGTAAACATTAAAACACATATCAAAAGACAAAAAAATATTTCGGACTATTGATGTCAGAGTCAGAGAGCTTTGATGGCAACGATTACACCCGCTTGACTATTGAATCGCATATATATAAATAAGTACATGTATAAGTATATATGTGTTTATTTATAAATGCCGTATTTGGTCGGTTTAAGCTTTGACTGGGTTTAAGTAACTAAAAATTTTATGATTTATGCCTTTTGCTTGGCCAAAGTGAATCGAATCGATTTTCATTATGAATTATTGCTGTTTTTATGGCATCGTTCTGCTTCACTGATTTATTTGAACTGCCTGCTTTTCTCTATCGTGTAATATGTGAGGGAGTGTGTATTTGACCAAAAGGCAGCTATTTTATCGCGTTTGTATGTATGGCCTCATCTTTAAATGCAGACTGTGGAATCGTGCGGAAAATGGAAAAATACATTTAGTCGAAAAAGGTAAGCCAAAGTACTGCCTGAGTTGTTCGAGCAGGCTGATGTCGCTGCAATATGTAGAAGGATACACTGTACTAGTCGTATATTTATATATAAATATATATATATATATATATATGTATGAATAACATATACTATGTGAGGCTAAGTATATGAGTGTGCGGGTGTTCAGCAGTGCTCTCAGTGTGGCTGAGCCTTATTTTCGATGATGAGTGCGACGATGATGGAATTGCAATTATACTGATTCAGCTTACCTGTAATCCGCTTACGGTACACGTTTCCGGCGGTTTGACTTCAATTTCAGTGCCGCTGTGGATGACAGCATCGCCAGCACTTCCGGTCGTGGTGAGGTCCTCTTGCGACACTGGCGGACACAAGCTGTGGTCGGATAAATCTGTTCAAGTGGACGAGAGGGCAATTTTTTTGTGAACGTGTCGTTGTCGTCGTCGATTTTCGAAGTACGCTGAAGTGGTGCGAAGTGAGGTGGACTGAAGTGGACTAGAGTGTAGAGTGGAGCGGCGTGGCATGGAGTGGTTATCGGGGTCGAGTGCCAAGTAGAAACAGCATTCAATGCAAAAGCATTTCAATCTGTGAGCATCTCCGAAAACTCCAAATTCGCCACCATGTAGGGTCGGGCACACAGACAGTATACTTGATATGGGCGTATGCGGAGCACGGTTCACTCCTCATTTGCTTTCATTGTGCTTGTCTGTCTGTTAGACTGCCTGTTTGACTGCGCACCACCACTACTCATGTGGGCGTTGGAAAGTACACTGAGTGGCACAACATACCCACGTGCACACACAAATAAGTAAAATACAATGCGTACAATCGACGCGTGTAACGGACAAACTTTAGGCAACAATCAATCAATTGCGATATTGGCATTCGCTTCAGTGCAAGAGCCCGACCATTCGCTGTTCAGTCCACTTGATGCCCTTGGCCCTCATGTTCCTTCCATTCCACAGACATATACGCAGCCACCTACAATTCCAATTCCAATTCGAATTCCACTTCCACTTCACTCTTCTTCGAACGTGACAATGGAACTTACCACCCGCTCGTCCGTACTGAGCCAGTTCTATGGAAATGCTAGTGCCACGTGGACAGCTGAGTGACAGCTGTTCTGAATCGCATCCGGCACGCTGGTACGTCCGCAAGGTGGCAGCGAGCAGAGCTGAAAGCAAACAACGCCAAAATCGGGATGCATTAATATATGTATAGATATAAAGAACAAAGCGAAAAGAAAAAACATATATATGAATATAAATGTATATATAACGCACAGCAAATGCAAACAGACAACAAACTACAGTATAGACACTAGCAACAGTGGTTGCGCTCCAGAATTCGACTTAAGTGAAATTCAAATAAATCAATATTATTACGTCTACCCCATAAAATAAGATAATATGCTTCAAAGGTATCTAGGCGTCCGAGCATACAAGAGAGCTTTTTGAAAAAATTAAATTTTCACATTCCAAACATTTGGTAAAATTCCTGTTCAGGATACGTATTTATTATCATTTTAATCAAAAGCTTTATCAGTGTCACAGAAGGGAAAATAAACTGCTACATGCCGAGTATAGAATTCAATTTTATTTTTCTGTGTACAGTATATAAATTGGAATTTTTTTAATCAATTGAAATGTCATGTCGCAAATTTGTATCAATTCTTAACGTTATCTGTGGCTAAATAACAGTAAAATACAAAATTAATTGTATTTATAATAAACTTTAAGCGGAATTGAATTGATGTGTACTGAACTGTAGCAGGTATTCACACAGTGTCTAATGGAAAAATAGTCTTGAAGTACAAGAAAGTAAATTGAATTTCCATTATGCAATCGTTCAGTCTTCAACTTAACTGACACTTGACACCTAAGCAAACTCAGACATTCAATTTCATGTGAAATTATTCCCCAACATTTTTTTTCGTAGCATTTTGGCAGCGGAAAAAATGGTGCGCCATTTGTTTCTGTTTATTGTACATTTCTCTTATCCACTTTAGAGAGGCGACGACGGTGATGGGGCATCCTCTGAGCCACTGACTTCATTACCCAAATTGTTTACGTGTGTTTGTTGTGTGTGTGAGAATGTGTGTGAAAATGTGTGTATGCATGAGTAAGTGTTTACACTACAAAACAAATGCCTTACAATAGCTGCCAAAGGGGGATGCATGGTGGAATGTGTGTTACGAGCATAAAACGATGGGAACTAGAGCAATACGTGTGTGTGTGTGTGTGTGTGTGCGTGTGTGTTACACATGTATACACATGTATAGACAAACATATTCATGTTATTTTTGTATTATTGAAAGCCAGTTTTCGCCGTGAATTCCGCTATGATAGATTGTTTGAGTTTTGTGCAAAAGTCAGTTGCACACATGAAAAACTATAAAAGCAATTAGCAATGGCATTATAGCCAGTTGGAAAAATTCATTCTATAACATGAAAGGATATACGCTGGTAGTAATCAAGTAATAACTTGAGTAAATATTATTCAGTTCTTGTCATGTGTCGGGTATACAAAATGATCTCAATTATGAATAATGTTTACAGATTCCTTTGCCTGGCTGACTGTGAATATTTCATTTTCAGAATTAGTAAACAGCTAACATGTTCAGGAGAAAAAAACCGTTTCGAGCATCTTAATAATTTGTAATCGCAAAAGAGGTAGGCTATTAGAGAGATGGCTGGTAACGACAAACAGCAACATCTCCTAGGTGGTAGTACTAGCCAGCCCCAAAGTAAGTGTAACACGTGTGCACATTTATATCCTCCTAAATCACAAAACCAGGCGGCGTCTTCCCGACAGTTTACGACCACGATGCGCCCTTAGGCTGGGTCTCCGGCTTCAGATACACCAAGCACTCCAGGTGGACGTTTCATGCAAATTTATGCTACATAAAATGATAATAACTCTTTCACTTTTCATAATTTTGGTAAGCATTTACCCGGCTGTTTAGTTAAGCAAATGTAGACCACCACGCCGACCACGCAAACACAAGTGTTAATATTTATAGAGTAAGCAAATGAAGATTGGAGGTGTAAACGATTATGGTATACCCTGTAATCGCACTAGACTGCCTGATTTGTACAAATATGTATGCTGCTGTAAGTAAGAAAATATATAACGGATTGAGTGAGTATATTTGTCCTATCTTAGTTCGGAATTACGTTGAAAAAAATTCTTTGTATACAAATTTTGAATACCAAAACATTCTGCATCATTTCTTTTAAAAGTTATATCACTTGACATTGCTGTTGTGTTCAGAGTAGGAAAAAATAGAAAAACAAGAATATTAACGACCCAGCGGCATGTATTGTAAGTATATGGCCGCAGTGTTGTTGAAGCATCTACTCAGAGGTGAGGATGACGAGGTGTGGGAGCCTGCTGAGGCACTCGTGTGCGAGTGCTCAGGATCCTGTCGCCTCCAGTTAAATTTTACAGCTCAAGCAAGACACTAAAAGGCATCGCATATGACAATGGCACAAGGACGACATTCCTCACCCGTCCCCCACGGTTGTCCTTCACCAGGCAAGCAAAGATGGGAGATTAAAGCACATCTTAATGTGAACCGACTCTGGGAAATGTAAAAGAAGCGCATAGGCCGTGAAAGTTTCCGTTATCAACGCGACCCAAGGCGCCAGTACGCGGTCTAAGTACACGCACAATGCCAGGACAGTGCCCTTCAGATGTCTCCTTGATTAGGGGGGTCGGAGTAAACCATATGTACCAGACTGTTGTGTTTTTTGTGTGCGGTATCTATTCTACCAATTTAAAAAATCAAAAAATAGTAAGAATGCTCTATTCGATATAGCTCGACTAGGAGATACCCTGAACCCAAGTTTTGCTGTTTCTTAATCGTTCTTAATTTTTACGAAATCATTAAAATTGTGGCTTTATTTATATAGGTACTCGTTAACTTTAAGTTATTGTAGAAATTATTACACTCAAAATTTGAAGTCTGTAACTCTTATAGCCTATGAGATCCTCTTTCATACTGAATATATAAGAATATATAAAAAGCTTATGTCAAGTGAGAAGGCTGTATGCTTAAAATTGTGGGGTGGAGCTGATTTCGTCAACGTACTACATACATTGCCGCAATTTTATTATACCCTTTTGAGGGTATACAAAATTATCAAACCTCACAGCTCCAACGATTGAATATTTATGGCTAGCATGAGACGCACGAGTAATAGCAAGTGACGAACAGTTTAATGGAAGTTGCCGGAGTTGTTGCTGCTTTTGCGACAACACATAAATTCAAAGTTTAGACGAAGTTGTTGAAGCAATGTCCTTGAAATTAATGACCCAGACCGTTACGCACTCGAAAAGAACGTTTGAAAAAATATTTAATTGCACTTAGAGCCCTGTTAATAGATGTGTGCAGATGAGCGTAAAATATGTTGATACTCTTAAGGGGCACTTGAAAGTGGTGCTTATTCTCTTATAAATACTTCGGTAATTGTATAAGAGAACATTGACATACACTTGTGAGACATGCAATTTAGCACTCATCGAATTTAATCATTTAATTACCAGATTGAAAATTTGGTAAATGAAAAGATTCATTTTTCTTTCAAAGTATATATCTTTTTGCACATCATTAAGGCAGAATCATTTATTTCTGTACTGCGGCAAATATGGCAATTAATTTTTGCAAGCATATCCAATCTGACGATTGATTCAATCGATAAGTGGTGACAGAAAATTCAAATATAGGAATTTTTCTTTGGAAAGAGTCATTATACTTCGTAAATATTTCATAGCACATGTATATGAACACATTTATATTATGTATATACAACTATAAATAGAAATGAAACCATACCAAAATCCGACGTGGATTTTATTTGGTCTACAAAAGATGTGTATATACGTGTATTGTATGTAATGCGTACAATTTTGCGTGTTTGGATATGTCGTGGTATTGGAACTGTTAGAAGTAGTCTCAAAGTGGTCCATGGTCATGATTCAACATTTATGACAATGAAACGTGGATTGGCAGCATCTCTTTTCGAGTATCTACTGTGACGGGCAGTTAATTAATGTGGTTTAATTTATGAATGTTTGCTTTGGCTACCCTATTAATCATTAATGACGAACATAAATATTTGGTCGCTCTCGCTTTTCAGATCATTTGTGAAACTTTGTCCGTAGAAAGCAGTTTCGTTGCCTTGAACTGAAACTGGACAACGGAAAATACACAAAAGCCATAAACAGCCACTTTGAGTGTGTATTTGTGCTTAATTATGATTTATACATAAGTACATAAAAATATATGAATATATATGTATATACATGTACAAATACATAAATACGTATTTTACAGAGGGCAACGAGGCGGATAAAAACGCCAATTCAGTTCTTGGGACTGGCATAAAAATGTGAAGCAGGAGTTGGCGCCTGCATTCGGCAGCAGGCATTAGCTAAAAAGCGTCACAGGACCCCAGTCGTGGGATGGCAGCGACAACAGGGGACGATTATTGCTACAGATAAAACGGACACGACGCGAATTTCTATATGTAGATGTGGCTATACAAGTATCTGAAATGCCAAATGGAAAAAAAGTAAAACAAAACATTTACCCAAAGGATCAACTCGATAAATAACTTCCGGCATGACGGGCCGCGTCAGCAGGCACACAACAGTCAGAAACCAGGCGATTCTGCTCCAGCTACGGCCCCAGGAGCTCTGGTAGTGCACGTGCCGACATTTGCTAGATTGGGGCTGCGGTAGGCATGTGGCATAGCATTGCCAGTGCTGCCGTTGCAGATGCCGTGCGGGATTGGGCTCCGGTTCGGCCATTGCCAACGCCCGGAATTGATGTTGATGTTGTTGTTGTTGTTTTTCTTGTTGTTGCCGTTGCTGCTGTCGTCGACTCAGTCTCCGTGTTGGCCAATGTTATCGTTGTTTAGCGGCTGCTGTTGATTTGATGTTCTTTATGGTCGATTTTATTGCGTGCCCCCAGATTTGGTGATTTGAATTTTTTGAGTTTTCATATTTATTGTTATCATCAGCGGCGTCGATTGTAATGCCTCATACGACTGGTCAATATACTCGCATTCGTGTTCATGTTCATATTCATATTCATATTGGTATACATTTTCGTATTCATGGCATTGGCATCGTCGCATCGATCATATCATCTGCTTTAATGGAAAGTATGAATCAATATATAATTTTGTTTTGTACACTTTTTATTTGCGCTTCATCATACTAAATTCTGTACTTGCTTTATAGCTGGAATTATTACACAAAATATTTTGATTTCTTTATGTCACTTTTTTTATGATTTAAATTGTGTCTGGCTTGTTAGTTTTTGTGCTGTACAAGAAATTCAATTAATTTAATTTCACACGCTGTTAGCGTCGTCTTTTTTTTGTTGCGATTTTCTCTTTTTTATTTATTTTATCAATTTATAACTGCTCTATGTAGATTCTGGATTTAAATACACAATTTCATTACTTGTTACGTAAAACTTTATTGTTTAATGAAAAAAAAAGGACCAACATTCGCTTTGAACATTTATTATTTGCTCAATAAAAATTATTAAATTATGGGATTTTCCATTTTCGCGCCTTTTTTCTGTTGAGTTTGAGGTTGTTTATCGAATTCCAAATTAATTTTAAATTAAAATTCGCTACTCAAATTAATCACAATTAATTAGTTTGGTTAACAAATTGTAAACTTTTTGTTTTAACAACACCCAAAAGCGATTCTAAAACAAATTCAACTGTTTGTAGCAATTGCGAATACGGCAGGATTAGCGGTAAAATATCCATTATTTTTGGCACATTGTTTTCATTAGCTTCGAGGTAATATTCTCATTTAATTGTAAATTGCACGTTCAATTTTTAAGCCTGTATTACTAATTGTGTTGTTTAAAATCAATTTAACGATTTAATACAGGAATTAAATATTTTATTTATGCTAATAGGAATATTTGGTTTTACTGTTATTAGTAAAAATTTACTTTGTGTCAAACTTGACAAAATGCTCAAAATTTGAAATATACGAGACGGTAGCTTATTCCACGGAATTTCTAATCTACTGATCAAATTTTTGTATCAGAACAACATTTACATAAGATTTTGGAGTAACTATATATTATAAGCATAAAGCTACATGAATGTCTGTTTTTGTGAAAAGTTGTGAATATTTTTACTTCAAGTTTTTAAAATGTATTATTTTTACGTTTGAAAAAAAGTACACAAAATAATAATGGATGTAGAATGGAATTTGCTATTTTGGCAGCTGTCAATTTTGATAGAACCATACGAAACTCTGACTATCTCTTTTTCTCTGATACCCCATCCAGGGTAGTTTTCTATAGTTATCGGCTTCCATAGTTTGGAACAACAAGTGAGTTGAGGGCGTTCTGGCTAGATTAAAAGTACACAAAAGGTATCAATTGTGTTCATTTATCCATGAAATTCTAACATTGATGTGCGGCAAGCCAGCAAAAGCAAACCGTACGAGATGAGTAATGGGCAACTTACATACATACACACACACACACAAAAAAACACACAAACACACACACAAACACACATTGCCAGATACAAACACAAGCACACATGCAAGCACCCAAAAGCCCCAAATTTACAAAAAACACACACGCATAAACAAAATACATGAGTGGTGTATTTGCTATGTGGGATGTTTTCGGATGCTGCAAGCTGAGGTTTTTGTAAAGTCGGTGAAAGATGCGAGTTGTAGTATGACAAAACATTCATTAACTGACACTTTCGGGCGGCTGGTCTAACAAGGCCGTAGCCGAATGTTGCTTCTGTTCTGTCCGCTGGAGTGACGGATGAACACAAAATGATGAAAGCTAAACCCCAACGAAAGGGGAAGCAACTTTCGTATCGGGTTGAGTATTAAGCGTGTAGGGACCAAACAAATCCCTTGTTATCCTGAGAGCTATGAGTAAGTACGTCAGTTTCAAGCACACAAAACACAAGCACACAAACAGGCAAGCATGTAAACACACACGCGCAAACACATGCACATACAGAAACACTCGAGAAGCACACACACACAAACCTGCATATGTTTAGCTGCTATGCTTGGCTAAAAAATGCTTCTTTATGTTGGCTTAATGTATTTCTCGGCGTTTTCTTCGTTATTGTTCGCCTGCGAGAAACCCAAAAACCGCAAAGTTTCAAAAGCAAACTTCATATTTTGCAAGCTGAGCGGAAAGTGCTTGTCCTGCTCAACCCGCACCCGCACCCGCAAACACCACATAACCGACACCATAAACCTTCTACTGCCTATGGTCCTACTAGTGACACCATTCCATATGCTTCTGGGGGATGCAGCTGCAAAGGCAGCAGTAGCAGCAATAGCAGCAGCAGCAACAGTAGCAGCGGCCAGCGTTGACGGCAACGTCAACGTCGACATCGACGTTTGTGCTTGTCTTGAGTTGCCTTTGTATCTATATCTGAATCTGTTGGATATCTGACGTGCCGTCGAAGGCGTTTTAGTTGTTTTGCTTTGGCTTTGGCTGCTTGTTGAAGGTTTTGTAAAGGTTGTTGCAGCCACCACTCATCATGATGAACTTTCTGGCGAACTTTGGTTTATGGCTTTTCAATGTTTTTCTTTTTCAAAACTAGTATATATATATATATATATATATATATATATATATATATATATATATATATATATATATTCATATTTATATTTATATATAAATATTTTAACTTTCATCTTGCCCAGCATCCGCTGCCGCAAGCAAAAATTTTACTTGAGGTTGGACCCAACTACATACATAGCGGTTGGATATTAGTTGCTTGGCACTAACAAGTTGAGTTGCGTACAGTTATTTATTAGAATTTATTTAAGCGGAAAGTTGCGCTCGCATTTTCTCATCTTTTGTGCTCAGTTCAATTTAGCGGAAAATTGAATTCATATTGAAATTGGTCGGTCAGCGAACTTATCCGCGTCCACCCAAACTCCATGCAAATATCAAACAGCCAGTTTTTGCGACTCGCTCAAATAGCCAAATAAATTCAATGGCGTTTTCAACACATCGTGTCCACCGCAAAACAGGAATACACAGCGGCAGTCACCAAATTCATCAGTGGTTTTGGTCGCAAACAGATGAAAATACGCTTTATATCTGTCAACTCAATAATTTGCTAAATTGCTTGATTCGTTCGATAAAACTGTAAATTTATATTTATAGTCAGTCAATTGAAGAACGAATGTTTCGCACAGCCGTAAACCAAACGCTCGGGAACAATTGGATAATCAAAATTGGACTAAATATTACACGCAAATTGGGGTGAATTGTGCAAGAGTCAGCCCAAGGGAGCAAACGAACGAGTTTAGATTAAACCAGATTCACCTAACTTGGGGGATGTCAGGCATTCTAAATTGAATACATAGATTGTATACAATGCGGCCATAAATCTTCAACTGGCCCAATTGTCTCAAAATACAGAACTCATATTCACATGCAGTGATTGATAGCCACGGCAAAGAGGATCTTGAATATGGTAATTTTCGTAGAACCCTTGCCTTGTCGGTTGTCGACACCAGTGTTCGAAAAAGATAAATGCATGCTTAAGGAATCCCAAGCAGCTTTCAGAGGTCTAAATCAAAATTATGGCTTAGCGTCAGAACTCTGCCAACAGGGATTGGAAAGTTTTGCGAGCTGCGTAAAGCGAGCGAATTGCAAGGGGCTTTTGGGCAGTGAGCAAGGTAAATATTTATTGGCTCAATAATTTGGCAACATTTTGCAGGATTAATGTGCAAATTCCAGAGCTATAAATTATTTCCAGCCGTATTCCTAAATTATATAAAATAAATACAGAATAAAAAAGCCCGACGCAATCACGAAAAAGAATGTATGGGTGTGCTTGTGTGTGTGTGTACAATACATACGAGTGCCTGTGCGAGTGCGTGTGTGTGTGTGAGTTGGGGGAGCCTGTGTTTTTGTGCAAGGACACGCAACCATAATAAAAACTTGTTGAAAAATTTACGAGCACAGCAGCATCAAAGGACAAATCGGACAAAACAGGCCCAGGCAATTGGCCACGTGAGCAACCGCTGGTCGGCTGCTGGTCACGTTCCGGTGCCTCTACAGATCCCAATCCCGGCGTACTGTGCAACGACAAGGGCGTGTTTATTTATGTCGTGGCTACCGCTGAAAAGTTTAGTCGTTGTACGTGTCAAAAACTTTTGACATTGCAATAGCTTCTCGCCTCCTCAAGAAGTCAGCAGCTGCATTTGGGGGACCCCAGCTGTCGGCCTATTAAATCTCACAGACTACACAGTGAACCTGGCAAACACCGCTGTGCCCCAGCACAGTTCGAATGGCAAAGTTAAGACACTGACTAATTTGGTTAGCGGGTCGCGTACAACTTTCATTGGTAACTAGAATATGTTATTAAATAATGTCTAGTACATGAGCAGCTACCTAACCAAAAATCACAAAACAGCCACGTGACACAGCCACGACACAGCAGCAACCAAGGCAATGATGAAGGCGAAGACATCCGAGCAGAGACAGAGACAGAGGTACAGGCAATGCCAATGGCAGAGGCTGTGGCTTAGGCTGTGGCAGTTGCTGAGAATGGTGTCTTTATTCAGTAAATAATTGATCAGGGTTCGTGCAAATCTCGGAGCATCTGTGCTGTGTTAAATATGCCGCATATTAAATTTGGTCTAGCAGCCCTGGCTCATGCTTGATGAGGGCATAGTTAGGCCAGTCAAGTCAGGGAGTCATATTGACCACAATTGCCCTTGTCCTTTATTACTTGCCCAGCATTATTTTTAATCATAGGCTCAGCTTTAATATATCGTGCAACGAAATGAACACAGCCTTCAAAGATTATTTCAATATACATAGCTGGCAAGGAACAAAAACCCAAAAAATGCTAAAAACATTTGATGTTCAATTTGTTATTTTAATTGAATTAAACTAATTTCAGATATGTAATTGAACAAAGCTATTGAATATTGTTCTTTAATCTGAAAACTCAACAATTCACGAGCAGCAAATGCTTTTCATGCCCAACAAGGGAAAAACACCTGTTCCGGGAATTTTCCAAAAGGTAAAGCATTTGGAGCACTTATATGAAAATATACGCGAACATATAATAAAGTGCGTGTGCCGCAAAATAAAAATAAATAAAAATGA